CCTGTAGCTCAGCCACGGGCGCGATCTATGCAATCTTACATACCCCAACTCCACACAAGCGCGCACGCACGCACGCACGCACGCACGCACGCACGCACGCACGCACGCACGCACCCACGCACCCACGCACCCACGCACCCACGCACCCACGCACCCACGCACCCACGCACCCACGCACCCACGCACCCACGCACCCACGCACACACTCACTCACTCACTCACTCACTCACTCACTCACTCACTCACTCACTCACTCACTCACTCACTCACTCACTCACTCACTCACTCACACACACACACCAAGCGCACACACACACACACACACATATATATATATATAAATCTGTATGTGTTCCTACATACATACGTACATACGTCTACGCATGCATGCATGCACATACATACATACATACATACATACATACATACGGCTCAAGTTTGTGGCTCACAGGTGTGCTTCAAAGTGGAAACGCGTACGTCCTGGGATCTCGGCTTCGCTGGCTCCCTCTCTCGGTCTGTCTCACTCGTCCTTTCTTGTCCTCCTTTCTTGGCCTGTCCTCTCCTTGTGGCTTTCTTCCGCTTTGCACTGTCTGCCGCCCTTGGCTCTGCTGCCCGCACTGTTTGCCGCCCTTGGCATCGCACTGCTTCTTGCCCTTGCCCTTGTCTTCTTCTGCTGCACTGTGAACTTTTCCTTCTTGCGGGGCTCTGTGTTTTCTCTGCCGAGTTGCCTGCAGAATTTCGTACCGTGATGGAGCGCGGACGCACGAGAGAGAGAGAGAATAGGCTCGACGAACGTCCCCCCGCCAAACCCGCACCCAGGACCATGGATCCACAACGAACCCAACTTCCACCTGTTTCGAACCATCATCAAGTACTTGAGCAACGTCCTTCACACCGTGTAGATTCATCTGACACTGACATCCAAAAACAAGCCCCTGAAGCGAAAAAGATCAAGCTCGAACCGAAGGATTCGACAACCCAAGAAGACTCCCCCATGGAACCCCCGGGCCCTCGCCCTGACCCGAACGAAGCCCCTAAAGCCAACGAAGCCCACGAAGTCTTCGACCTCACCCAGGATGACGATGATGAACTTAAGGCCTGCACTGAAGCACAACCAGGGACGAGGATCTCTGCAGGCGAACAAGCCCCTTCAGGGGGACCTCAGTCAAGCACTGGAGTTTTTGCGGCTCTGCCTCGTAGCTCGGGCCAGGACGTTCCGGAGTGGCTTAAAGGGCTTACCGAGTCTTTGAATGGGTTGCATCTCAAGAGTGACCGAACCCATGAGTACTGCGTGCAGCTTGGCAGCAGCGTCGCGCAACATGACACCCGCATTGCACACCTTGAAGCCACAGCTAAAGAACAAACGGACAACCATGAAGCCGCACTCGACCGCATCACCGCACTCGAGAAAGCAGTTGTCGAGCTAGACCGGAAATCCAGATCTGTCACGCCACCCAGGGCCCCAGACACCCCTCGAGGTAGCAGACTTGGCAACATTAGTCCTCGCAGCCCCCGAAGCAACCCTGGTGCTTTTCCTAGTGAGAACCTGCGGGACCCCGAACAGGACCTGTGTTTAGTCGTAGGGGGGTGGTCTGATGCCAGAGTCGCGGAAGCAGAGGAAGAGGTTCGAAACCTCTTTGAAGCAGCTGGGATGAGCAGTCACCTCGGAAACTTGTCAGGGCCCGCAGGAAGAACCAATTTCCTGAGAGTGACCTTGAACTTCCAAGGCATCCAAGATTTGGGTCGGAAGAGACAACTGCAAACAAGGGTCCTTGACAAGCTTAAGCATTTGAAGAGCAAAAGTGGGATTGAGGGTCAAGATAACTGCAATCTTTGGGTGACCAAAGACCGCTCTATCGAGGAGCGCATCAGAATCAGGGCCTTGGTCCTGACCAAGAACTTTTATGAGAAGCTACCACAACCCCCCGAACCTGAGCCTTGTCGACCCCCTCCCGAAATCGTTTGGAGAGGACAGGTTTTTGTGGGTCAGCGCAGGATGCTTAAGTGTATGGACAACGGACATGAGCCCACAGCCAACGATCAGATTGTGGAAGATGCGCGAGGGAATCATACAGTTTGGTTCTTATGCTCTGAAGCTTTCTCCCAGGTTACTGGCAAGCCTAAGGAAGCTCTGCAACAGCTGTGGGCCGATTACGGACCGGATGCTACGCCCTTCGGCGCCGGAGCCTGACAGGCCAAGAACAAGTCCAGAGGGTCCCCGGTTCACATGGTGTCGTGGAACTTGAGGGGGTAAAATCTGGACGACGTCGCTAGAATTTGGGATTTGCTCGGTTTCGCTGGTACTCACGTAATCGGGTTGCAGGAGCTAGGAGGATTACCTGAAAGGTGTCCTTCGCACGACGTGGCACTACATACTGAGGTCTCCCTTGCTGGGCGCTCTTACACTTTCTTTTATGCGGACAGTTCACACGCTTTCAGAGGCTCTGCCATTGGCATTCCCACTTCCTGGCTTGGTAAGGTCGAGAAGACATGTACCTTTTGTACCGGGATTGGGCTCATTTTGAAGGACCAAGGCATACGCCAGTTTTTTGCATCAATTCATCTGCCCTACAAACTTCGTGAAGACTGTTTGCAGGTATGGCAACAACAGGTTGAAGAACTCATTTCCTTTTGCAGCAATAGGCGCTATCATGACGAAATTGCCTTCTGCTGTGACCTTAATTACGACATCCTGGATATAGTCAATGTGGACGAAAGAGGAGTGCCTCTGGGCCAACTCTTGCGCTCGCTTGGCTTGGAATTCACAAGGCTCCATGAACCCACTTGGAGCAACACCAGTGGCGCATCATCCCGAATCGATTTCATTCTTTTCTCGCTGCCATCTATGACCTTTTGGGACGACAGAGTACTTCTGGGCTCTGATGCCATTGTCGGTTCGGATCATTGTGCCGTCAGTGTGAGTCTTCAGTCACTCCCCTCAATAGGCAGAGGAGCGTTCCAGAACTCCAAATGCGGGAAATGGTGGACTCAAGGCCCCCAACTCTTGAACAAAGCTAGTGCCCTCGCCGAACACCTTGAGCTTTCCATGTCGGACATGTGTATGGAGGATCTCTCCTCCCTGTGTCAGTCGTGTTCCAGGAGAGTCACTAGCTGCCGCTTTGTGGACACGCCCGAGATTAAAGCTCTAATCGCTAAGAGGAAGCTACTACGAGGCCGCGAGGCACGGGAGATGGCCAAGCGGATTGCAGACACTCGCAGACGGGCCAAAAGAGAATGGCTTGCTTCTTTACTTCAGAAAAGTGCAGAAGGAGACTTCCGAGCCATTGCGTATTTCAAGAAGCGTAACACGGCCATGTACACACAGGGGTCCTACTGCATCCGAGCTGGTGGGCGCAGCAAAGCAATCGCAGACCTCAGATTCTTCTATCAGCGCAAGTACACGCCTCCTGATCCTACGCCGCCAGGACTGCCTCGTGCCATTTTCCACGCAAGGGCGGGGCCCATCCTGAATCCCCGACCCTTCACGTTGGAAGAGATCTGTGATGTAGCTTTCATGTGCAAGCACAACAAGAGCACAGGGGCTGATGGCATTTCCTATGAAGCCTTGCAAATGCTTCTACAATCTGAATTGTCGGAACACATCTTGGATATGTACAATGGCGTGCTCCAAGGACTTTTGCCCATCCCCCGAGGGTGGCTGCACAGTCATGTGTGCTTTCTGCCCAAAACCTCGACCCCCCGCACACCCGCAGACCTCAGGCCGATCGTGCTCTCCTCAACTGTGGCTAAGGTATTCACTAAGGCCCTGATGTTGCGCTTGCGACCTAAACTGCCCAGTATCGGAGCTTTCCAAGTAGGCGGAGTCCCTCAACGACAGATCCTTGATGCAGCGTGCGCAGTGCAGCAGGCCATCAGATTATCAGAGCAATACGGCAAACCACTTGTCATCATCAAGTTGGATGTGGCAGCGGCCTTTGATTCCCTCTCACATACATCCCTCGCCTCGTTCCTAGCACAGGCACAGGGGAGTCGAGAAGCTGAGGTACTGTTGGATATTATTTGCAACAGCTGTGTGGGGCTCGGGCTTCAGGGGACCAGTTGGGACCAACCACTCAGACAGGGTGTCTTACAGGGCAGTAGTTATAGCGCCGAGCTTTTTGCTCGATGTGTTGATTTCTACATGTCCTTTACCAACCAAGAGTGGCAACAGCGCGAAGAGACGTGGCTCCAAACACAGGAAGGACGAAAACTCTTTCTGACTCCTTTTGCCGATGATTTAGTCCTCCTAGCTACATCCAGAGACCAAGCTGTCCGCTTACTGGAGGACACAGTACGGACCCTTGGCGCTATTGGACTCCGGATGAATTGGCGAAAGTGCAAGTATATCCAGACCCCAGGACTGCCCAAAAGCCCTCTGACTCCCTGCGGAACAGACATCCATTGGGCGCAGAGCTTCATCTTCTTGGGCATTCTCATAGGATTTCAGCTCTCCTGCCAGGCTGTCCTCGCTGCCAGAATGACTAAGGTCTCCAATGCCTTTTGGGCATACTACAGGATCCTTAGACAACATGCTGTAGGACTTCCTAAGAGCCTGCAGATCTTCGACGTCTTCATCACGTCTCGTTGGAGATGGCTCAGCCCGGCAGTCAGACCCTCAAAGAGCATTCGTCAGTTCCTAAGGACAACTCAGGCCACTTTTCTGTTCTCCATCCTTGGGTTCTCGAGAGACCCCTTTCAGGGGTCTCTGGATTCTTGGATAGCAAGAAGAAGAGCCAGCAGACTTGCCGCCCAACTGGCAGGACACAAGGCCTGGGAGGGACAGCATGCATCAAGTTTTTTCGGCTATTGGGGTCATGCTGCGAGGTATCCCCCCCAGTCTTTCATTCCGATTGCTGTCACACTCCGCATCAGAGGACCTGAATGGCTCTTTGCTAATGGCCCCTACATCAAACGTCTCCCGGGACGCACCCAAAGTCTGTGTGCTGACGCTAGCAGATTCCTACAACTCGCGTGGGAGCAGTACTTGCGAGCCATAGGCCAATCCCCCCCGACATCGTGGATCCAAGGGGCAGCCGACAGGGAGGTGTGGAAGCACTTCTCCACCGATTGGAGCTACAAAAATGATGCACTTGCCACTCGTTTCTACTCCCAGTCTCCGGAAGAGGTGGACTTGCGGGGTTGCCAACTGGTACAAAATGGTGACTTTTTCTCGCTTCTGCATACTCGTCACCCGCCCGTCGAAGAGCCGTACACGACATCGTTTGTGTGTCTCAACACCCCCTCGTGCGATGCGCAAACAGAGGGAGATGCAGAGAATGTACTTCGGGTTTTTTCGGACGGGAGTGCTCCCAACAACAGGAAGGGGCAGGCAGGCGCAGGGGGAGGGGCTGTGGTTATCCTCAGTCCCAACACCCTGGTAGAGCAGGCCACCGTCTGTTATTTTCAGATCCCCAAGCCGTGCACTAACATCCAGGCTGAACTCCATGCTGCCGCCCAAGCCCTTCGTATGATACCTGAGGTACGACGACTGCATGCACAGGTGCCGATTACCTTCCACACGGATTCTCAGTATGTGCTTCAGATTTTGGAGGGTTCCTTTCAGGGCACGCATCATGCGTCGGTTCCCAATGAAATCATTTCCCTGTGGAACGAGCTGTGCCTTACAGTTGAGTGCAGACATGTCAGGGCTCACAAAGGAATCCTGCTCAACGAGATTGCAGATACCTTTGCCAAGGCAGCCACCCAGTTGCGGCGCTCCCGCAAGACTTTCTGCACACTCGACAGAACCCAAGCAGCTCTCACATACCAGCCCGACTCGCCGGTCTTCATCCCCTGGCTTTGAGGTCTGTGGCAACCTGCTGTGCCAGCTTTCGTCATTTCTTTCTCTTCCGCTTTTTAAGTGGACTACTTTTCTTTAGGTGATTTTGTGCCTTTTGAGTAGTGGTTCTCACTTCGGGACGTCCCTTCTGAGTGCTTTGTGAGTTCCTGCACTAATTCCTACAAACGATGTGTGTAGGGGGGGGGGGCAGGACGGGAACTTTATTCGGCATTGCGCATTTCGGCGGTTGCACGTTTTGCAATGCATCTTTCGGGGATGCTGGGAGCAGAAGCCTCTAGCACGCAACACGCAGCCCCGACGCCCAAGCTTCTGACTTGATTTCGCTCTCGTCTGCCTCCCAAGAGCCATGGAGCAGGTCGCAGGTCCCCGTGATGTCAGTGAGCACGTGCAAGCCTTCATGGACACAGCACGACCGGTGGCTGTGATTCCCCAAGGGGACTCTTCTTTTGACTGCAGTGATCGGTGTGACCGTGATGGTGCTCTTCGGATGGGGAGCCCTGACGAGCTTTCTCCGAAGCCTTGTCACGACCATGCAAGGGGCGGTCCGCGAACACCTGGCCGCCTTGCTGCAGGAACTCAACGAGCAGACAAAAAAGAGCCTTCTCCTGGAGATCGGCAATGCCACGGAGGAGATGCAACACTCCCTCACGACCAGGCTGGAGAAGACCACGGAGAGCCTCGCGTCGCAGGTACACGACATCCAGGCGGCAATCAAAGGCCTCTCCGATGCCCCTCGCGAGAGCCTGGATACCCATGCATTTGGCGAGGAATTTTGGGACAGCCTCCGCCCGGTGCTCACTCAATGGTCTCAAGTCCAGGGTGACAAGAGCTTGAAGATTCTGCAGGACTGGATCGATGGCGCTGCCCAAAACACTTCCACCCTCTCGGTGTCCACGCAGGCCCTCGAGGACAAGATGAAGGACTTCCATGCAGCAGTGATGGCACAGCTGCAAGACCTCCAGGGCGCCGTTACAACGACGACCCTGAACAAGGTCGACAACCTCAACACGAAGGTGGAAGCAGTGACAGACGAAAACCCTGGCAGCCTACATGAGAGAAGACCACGCCCTCATCGTTCGCATCAAGGACCGAGTCGAAGAGGTGTCCAAGGAGTCTTTGTCCCACCGCAGCGCGGTGCTCGCCGAGATAAAGAACCATTCTCCTATTATTAGGGACATACAAAAAGTGGCAACACGCTCTGCTGAGATGGCCGAACGGACGAATCTCCTTTTGGGAAAAGGAGACCCCTCGCCGTGGGAAACCGAACTCAGGAACGTCTGCGAGGACACGGCCAAGACCTTACTTTGGGTCAGTGGCCAGGAAACCGAGCTGAAGGATCGCACACACAAGATCGAGTCCATGCTCACTGGCTTGCTGGATGTGGTGAACGATGTTGGCACGGCCCTCGAGAGACACTCTGAGAGCATGGGTATGCGCTTGAGAGTGTTGAACGATGTTCAGGGTGGCCTGGACAAGGTGCTTGCTACGTTGGCGGCTCGGAGCTCTACGATGCCTACTGCCCTCAGCAGCCGCCACACTTCGCGCAGCCATCCTCCTTCGGACGCAGTCGTGTGCCTCCGGCCCCCACGCACACCCCGACCATCGTGGAGGACTTCTCAGGCCAGCAACCCGTGGTGCAGACGACCCACACGCAGGCCGGCACGGCGCCACCGGTCCTCGTCACCAACCTTGATGCCCTCACTCAGGTCTTGAATCAGAGGAGTGGATACTAGGAGATGGGCTACATGTGGCATGCCTGAGCTGATGTCGGATGCTTCGTGATGCGGCGCTGCTGAGTCAGCGCCCTACTGATCATGACAGAATCAAGAGGGCCCTTCTGCAGAGTGCTAGTGTCGAGCACTGTTCTCCTTACTGTTAGTTAGCTGTGTTGCCTTTCACTGTGCTCGATACGCTCGCACTGCCTGCCTGCCCTTGCCCTCTTTGCACTGCCTGTACTTTCCTCCTTGCCTTGCTGTACTTTACTTGCCGCACTGCTTTACCTTGCCGTACTGCCACAGCCACTGCCGCAAAAAGAGTGACTGTCGCGAACCTTGCTGAGTGAGTGTGACAAACCTGTGCCGAGTGCGTGCATGAATGAGCTTCCATAGGCCTATCGTCAGGAGAGTTCAGATGGTGCAATGCTGGCGACCCTCGGGCTCAACAAGCTGAGAAACATAATCACATGCAACTTCCAGTCCTGGGATCATGGCGTTCTTTTCGTCTCTGCGAGACCCTCCCTCAAAGACCCTGGATCTGTGTTCGCCTGTGCTGCCAGTGCCGTCATTTACTGCAGGTCATGTCTCAGCGTCCCGAACTCCCACACCCGAAGCCTCACCCGCTCTGTGCCCCTTGAAAGCTACACCACCCCAACACCCTGCGCCGCTGTGGCCTCACTTTGGCATGACTGAGGACATTAGGCTCGAACCCATCGAAACAGAGGCAATCAAAACCCTCGAACTTGATCGTCCGCCCTGTCAGATGGACATCGAGCGCATGTTCCACATGATCCCTAGGTCCATACTTAAGAGAGGGGACAACGGTTGCTGTTATGTTGTGGGAGGGGCCAGCCCTAGATGCCGTGATTCGCTGCTGACACTGTCGGTTGACCTCCCGTACTTCAACTTCGCAGTGAACAAATATCTGCACTGGGTTGCCCCGGCCCACAGATTCACAACCTTTGTTCTTAGACGTGGTGCTGTTGAGACCCCGCATCGAGATACCCGCAATGCCCCCTTCCCGTCCCTAGTGCAGGCCTTTTCCACTCCCGGCTGGGAAAAGGATGGTCTCTGGGTGCAGGACCCAATAGGAGCAGTTCCTAAACGGCATCTTAATCAAACAGTTATGGGTAGAGTCCAGCCGCTCATGATGCCTTTCGTGTTTGACGCTAGGAGGCTTTTGCATGCAGGCCACGTAGAGGATACCACCCGAACACACGAGAGACTGGTGCTTGTTGCTTTCTGCACGCTCCATACTTCCACACTTTCGGAGATGATGAGGTCGAGGCTTTATGGTCTTGGATTCAATGTGCCCACGCCTGTTGAGTGCCACATAGCCATGCATGGTAGCATACCTGGAAACCCCCCGCGCCTGAGGCAGCTGTCCCTACATGAGTTTTTCAACCTAGGCGCACATGAATCCTCGCAGCATGACGTCGTCATCGAAGTCGTACATGTACATGATTCCCAGTCCCAGTCTCAGTAACCAAACTGAATCTTTCAAGCCTCGGGGCTGCACTTGAGCCTCTTGGCAACCTGGGCTGCATTTATGTCTCTCGGCTGCTTGGTTGCACTGGTGCCACTTTGCTGCATTTATGTGCCTCGGCCCCTCGGTTGCACTCATGCCGCTTGGCCGCTCGGCGACTAACAGGTGCCCAGGGATGAACAGGACTGCACTTGGGGTAAGCCTTCTCTTCTAGGAGTGTGCAAAACATTTCTCCCCCCCCCCAAAAAAAACTCCTTGCCCTGTACTGCCCTGACTTGCCTTTGCACTGTCTGCTGCCCTGCCGCCCTTGACCTGCACTGCCTGCACTGCCTTTCCTTGCCCTTGCCCTTGTCTTTACTGTACTGTCCTTGCTGCACTGTCTCTGCTCCTTTGTCCTTCGCCTGCTCTCACTCGCCCTCCTCGCCGAGATCCTAGGAAAACCACACTTCCTGCATCGCCTTGTCTCCCCCCCTAGGAACTACCAAACCTCGCCCGTGCGGACGGCCATGGCCTCACAGCCCTGTCATTGGTGGATGGCCCCTTCGCTTGCGCTGACGCAATGACTCTGACCAGGTGCACGACTCAAAAGCGCCGACGGGGCATACTGCAACCATGAGACACATGCGACACATGATGACTGGTGCGTGGAATCGCACGGCTGAATGGCTGGCGCATGCTCGGATGGTTTTGATGCTGGACCCGGCAATGGCCCTTACACTGGCGCCGGATACACGTGCCAACATGATGTCAGACCTGAGGTTAGGACAGAGACACTGTGACCAATCTGGGCCTCTGCATAGTTCTGCCAAACGCGATCGTCGATAACCTGGGCCTCTGCATAGGTCTTTGCACAGGCAGTTGGTGTCCATTGTCGTGGCTGCACTGGTTGGCGCTTGCTGGAGGCCTGTGACGCATGCACCTGCCTCCGCCTTTGAGTCGAGTGACCTCTGGGAACTGATGTTCTTTTGGGATGGCGTGGACCTGCTGACTCCTGGAGTGCCTCACCTGCGGACAAAACCAGTGGGACACACAATACAGATGGGCCTCTGCATAGGTCTATGCACTTGCAACTGGTATGCCAGGAGTTCGTGGAGTGTCCACTGCTGTAGCTGGACTGGTTGGCACTGCAGTGTCGGCGAACGTTGCCAAGTGGGGGCCAATAAGTAGCTTTCCTTGATGTGGCATGCAGGCTGGTAGACAGTCTGCCGTACCATGAAAGCTGTTTTCGGTAGTTGGTTGGGCCTCCGAGTCTGGTCATCAGTGCACTGGACAGCGCGAAGACTTCGTTCCCGCCTCTGGTCGCGGCTTCCATGTCGGATGATTGAGCCTGCACAACTTTTCTGTGCTTGGTCATTGGTGCATGGTGGGATGCAAGTGAGCTTGTTCTTGCCGGGAGCGCTCTGAGCGAGTTCTGACGTCGTCTTGCACTACCTCAGTGAGTGTTGCCCGCGGTGTGTAGAGAGATTGGGCGGCTGAGTTCCGAACTTTGCCTTGCCAGCGCACTGAGTGTGAACTGGGGTTTCACGTCGAGGCTGACCTGTCGAAGTGATTTCTGTGTCAGTTTTGATTCTCCGATACTCACGACACCTGCCATGCAGTGTCCGCGGACGTTGCCAAGTGGGAGCCAAAATACATACATACATACATACATACATACACAGACACACAAACACGCACACACAAACATACACACACCCGCACACACCCGCGCGCACACACACACGCA